TATCAATGAACACCCATTATTGAAAGGTTTTTTCATAATTTTAGCAGTAAGACTTGTTCTTCATTTCTTTTAATTTGCCCTTCTGCAATATTTGCTTTGGAAACACTTAATGTAGAGACGCAAATTAGGTACCAGGCTTTTCGCTTCCAAATCAACTATGACGATGGATAATCCTTCATTGATATGACGTCAAATTACGAACAATCTGTAACTTATCATCTTTGGTTAACATTTTTAATCAGTTGAGTTGTGAACGTCGGTTGAGAAGGATTGACAATGTTCTCGAAGTTTTTTCACCGCTCAACAGCGAGTACGAATGAAGACGGCTTAAACCTTTGGGATCTTCCAAGGTTACACCGAGCCGCGTACAAGAACAAGATTCAGAAACTGCAAAGTCTTTTAAAGAAAAGACGAGTTGATATCAACAAGAAGGATGTCGAAGGACGGTAAGTTCTCCCTAAAAGTTTTTAACAGTAGAATGTCTTAATATTTAGGGAACTAACTTATAAAAGAAGACATATCTAATTCAACTTTATTCAGCAATCAGCTTTATTTATTCCTCGTTTTAATCTATTTTCTTTACGATAAATCAAGTAATAATCAAGCAGAACATATTAGTTTGAAATGTTTTCAAGATATTCTGACAATTCCTATTTAAATAAATTTGATTTCTATTCTTTAACAGATTTTGTTAATAGTCCTTATCTGTTTCATATATATTTTAACCTTTTAAACGAATTCAAATCATTTGTATTCGTGCTATCTAAAATCAATAAAGTCATTACACATTACATTATCTTTATTCTGTTCTTGCGTTATATCTCACCACTAATGTACATTTTATTTGTGTCTTGTGTCATTTGTTGTGTCTTTACAGTGCCTATAAATGTTTATCCCCCTCCCTTAAATTTTTATCTTTCCTGGAAAGAAATCTGTGATATTTTTGGCCTTTCAAAGGGGTCTACAAACTTAGAATTATTATTTTCTTTGATACTTTAATTTTCTATGTAGCAATTTGAGTTTTTGCTTTCTTCGTGAAAAACGTTAGTCTCTTTAGTTATCTATAGATAAAGGTTGCATAAATTCTATTGCAATTTTGCAGCACGGCACTGCATTATGGATGCCTCGCCGGCAGAATTCAAGTGGTACGGCTCATTTTGGATGCTGATGGCAAAATCACTATTGACAGATTTGGGAGGAGTCCTGTTTTTATGGTAAGTTACATCTCTCTTTAAATATGGCCCTGATCATTAGTGTCAATTTTTGCGACCTACCTTTCCTTTCACGTTGGCACCCCTCACTGATATCAAACATGGTTGAAATTTAAAGTAACAATTTCAGGCAACTTTATAGATCATTTTCTTTTTTAAACCAACATTTTTAAAGTAGAGAGGAAGGTGGCTGAACTTGATCTCTTACCTTCTGTTGTAATCTGTCAACAATCCTGATGACGATTCTTTTTGAACAGGCAATCAAAAACGGACATTTGGATATAGTCAAAGTATTCTACGGAATAGAGTTTGACTTCAACCGACCTGACCACGCAGGGACCACACCACTGCATTACGCCATTTTCAGAAAGAAAATGGAGATTGCAGAATACCTGGTAAAACAAGTGCATGTGAATGTGAATGCAAGAGATATGGTAAGTCACCTTGCTATAAGTTTATTCTTATATGCTGGATAAAAGTACACCTGAACAAAGACAGCCGAAATAGAAAGCGTGTGATAATTGAAAGCCTCTACTCTGTTATTAGAAGATCTTCAACATAACTAGAAAAAGTTCTTTCTTGCATTATTGATGCAATTAGCTTCAACAACAAGAATCAAGAATGAGACACTGCTTCATCACAAACTATCTTGATTAAGATTTCAGAGCAAGTCAACACAATCCACGATATCCTAACGATTCCGGAATGGTTTCTTGTTTGGTAAAGCCTTGTAAAAGTAGAACTCTATGATCAACACCATAGGATAATCAGAAAAAAACAGGGCTACAGCTAGAAATAGTGCAAGATATCTATAAATACAGACAAACACGAGCCTCTCTTACTCATTAACCTATGCTGAATCTTTGACGATCAAAGTCTAAAAATCATTAAAATGTAGCATTCATATATTGATTGATGTAAAGAATGCATGCATTCATAAATACTTGAGAACTCCCACTCATAAAACTTTGGTTTTCACAGCATATATCTACGCCGCTGCACGAAGCAGTCCTTGCTGGGTTGCCAAATGTGGTTTTATTGCTAGTGAAAAATGGAGCAGAAACAGAAATCAGAGAGATAATCGGAAAGTAAGTATGGTTTGAATCAATTTTTAAAGGATTTATGGAAATGAATTTTGTAGTTGTTCGTTAAAATAGCATACTTCAACTGACTTTGTTAACATTGCACAAGGCCTCAATATATAGATTTATTGCTCCTCGTTATTTAGCCAATCTAAAAAAGGTTCTTATCTAATTATTTCAATTGGTGTTGCTAATGATCCAATATTAAGAAAGCATATAAAAGTTATATGTAACGAAATGTAAATACTTGATATTTTGCTTTTTCAACACAGGACCCCCTTGTTGCTGGCGATCGTCAAAGGAGAAGAAGAATGTGTTGAGATCCTCTTACGCTATGGTGCAGAGATCTACCGCACAAGATGCAGCAGCCTCGCAGAGGACAAGGCTCTTCAATTTCGCCAGAAAAGGTACAGCAATACAATTGAAAATTTCATTAGAAATTTTAGCTAGTAAAACAACAAAGCTATACTTGTTTTAGCATTAAGAATCTTAAGTTTAAGGTTCTAATGAGGAGTGAATTGTTAGTTGTAGTAAAAAACAAACTCTCTAAGCTTTTGTGACAATTTCATAGTGAACGCAACCAATGTAAAATTCAGCCGTTTTCCATAAAATCGTTTTGGAAGAGAACAGCTATCCCACACTAATACAATCTCAATCATTTTTCTAGGATATATGAAATGCTCCAGACTTATAGATCAAAGCACGAGAGGAGAATTGAATTCATCGGTAGGTTTGTTAAAAGCTATTCCATATATCTGTAATGTATTCTTGCCTAATTTGAAGAATATATTTAAAAATGTGTAATGAAAAAGATTCGTCGGGGTACAATAAGAGGTCATGCTTTCAAAATGGGTAAATGATTTAGATTGAAGGATTGTTGGTCAAAACGGAAGAGTTGAAACATCAGGAACCTGTAAACAACGGTAGTGCCAACGGTGGAGTCACGTCCAACAAGTGACAACCCCATCTCTAGAAAACCTTGTGGAGCCACGTCCCACAAGTGACAACCCCATCTGTAGAAAACCTTGTGGAGCCACGTCCCACAAGTGACAACCCAATCTCTAGAAAAACTTGTGGAGCCACGTCCCACATGTGAAATCCCCATCTCTAGAAAACCTTGTGGAGCTACGTCCCATATTTTCTTTATGGCCAAGGTGCCCAACTGTTCAAGCTTGGTAAAGTGGATTCAAAATACCGGACTGAAAAGTCTGATTTGAAGTCACGAACTGGGAACTCCAGGGAGCAACAAGTAATACTCGCACAGAAGCAAAACGTTTGAGAATAAAAGAATAAATTAAGGATTAAAGCTTGAAGAATCTACAAGCATTAAAAAAATGAAGGATTTAAGAAAAAATTAGAAAAATGTAACTAACACCTTCAAAATAAACGCTTAACCTTCGCGGCGGTCACATATTTCCTGAAGCAAAGGTTGGGTACCTTTCTGCAGTAGCCAAAGACATAAACCTTGCCTAAAATAATTAGAATTTCAAACACCATACTCGCATAGCCTCAGTGAATTGGTTATAAAATAAGTTACGTCTTTAAGATTGAAAAATATCTTTCAGATCCAAATCTCTTGAACATCAAGTCGTCATTGATGACAAATGAAGATGGAAGTGTAACAGAAAATGCAAATGCAGCTATGCACGAAGAAGACAACGAAGTCGTTGCATTTCACGAGAATTCGCATGATTCTGGTCTAGAATTAAGTTCATCAAGCAGGCGAATTGACAGATGTAACCAACTTGACAACTCTGTAAGCTTAGAATCTCAGGAAGTCATCGAAATATGCATTAACATCGGTAAGTTATAACTCTTCTCTTTCCTTCCTTTATGCATTCTGTCAGTTCTTAGGTATCTAAAGATTGTTTACAATGATTTAGTTCCTTGGTTAAGGCAGTCACTCTTTTTAAAAAGAATGCTTACAATGGCAGAAATAGAATCATATATCATTCAAAAACAAGGTACCTATTTTAACACAACAGACTAATACTGAAAAATTCATTATTCCAAGTTCAAAATAAATCACCAGTATTTCTCAATCCATTGATTTCAGAGCCCCAACCAGCAGAGGAGATACCAGATCTTCTCTTCGAGGAGGATGGAGAAGAGTATTCAGGAGAAGAGATCATTGATGAACAGGAAATCTCGTTGGTTATGGCTGACTTTGAAACCTCATCATCCAACCAGCCATGGCCTGAAGTTGAACAAGTCACCCCATCACTCGTTCAATTTGAGGCAGAACTGACTTCTGCAGGTATATGAGAAACTTCTTTCTTAGGCATCAATAGAATGTAATGTTAAATGGTTTCTAATGATCTTTGAGATTACTCATCTCTTCGTATTCGATTTTATTGATTGTTCTTTGATTCAATTCAGAGCCCCAACCAGCAGAGGAGATACCAGATCTTCTCTTCGAGGAGGATGGAGAAGAGTATTCAGAAGAAGAGATCATTGATGAACAGGAAATCTCGTTGGTTATGGCTGACTTTGAAACCTCATCATCCAACCAGCCATTGCCTGAAGTTCAACAAGTCACCCCATCACTCGTTCAATTTGAGGCAGAACTGACTTCTGCAGGTATATGAGAAACTTCTTTCTTAGGAATCAATAGAATGTAATGTTAAATGGTTTCTAATGATCTTTGAGATTACTCATCTCTTCGTATTCGATTTTATTGATTGTTCTTTCATTTATTCCAGAGCCCCAACCTGCAGAGGAGATACCAGATCTTCTCTTCGAGGAGGATGAAGAAGAGTATTCAGAAGAAGAGATTGTTGGTGAACAGGAAGTATCGTTGGTTTTTGCTGACTTTGAAACCCAATCATCCAACCAGCCCGAAGTTGAACAAGTCACCCCATCATTAATTCAACTAGAAGCAGAACTGACTTCTGCAGGTATGTAATAAACTTCTTTTAGGCATCAATAGAATGTAGTGGTAAATGGTTTTCTAATGATCTTTGAGATTACTTATCTCTTCGTATTCGATTTTATTTATTGTTCTTTGATTTACTTCAGAGCCCCGACCTGCAGAGGAGATACCAGATCTTCTCTTCGAGGAGGATGAAGAAGAGTATTCAGAAGAAGAGATTGTTGGTGAACAGGAAGTATCGTTGGTTTTTGCTGACTTTGAAACCCAATCATCCAACCAGCCCGAAGTTGAACAAGTCACCCCATCATTAATTCAACTAGAAGCAGAACTGACTTCTGCAGGTATGTAATAAACTTCTTTTAGGCATCAATAGAATGTAGTGGTAAATGGTTTTCTAATGATCTTTGAGATTACTTATCTCTTCGTATTCGATTTTATTTATTGTTCTTTGATTTACTTCAGAACCCCAAACTGCAGAGGAGATACCAGATCTTCTCTTTGAGGAGGATGAAGAAGAAAATCCGGAAGAAGAGATCATTGATGAACAGGAAATCTCGTTGGTTTTTGCTGACTTTGAAACGCCAACATCCAACCAGCCATTGCTTGAAGTTGAACAAGTCACCCCATCACTAATTCAACTAGAAGTAGAACTTACTTCTGCAGGTATGTGAGAAACTTCTTTCTTAGGCATCAATAGAATGTAATGGTAAATGGTTTCTAATGATCTTTGAGATTACTCATCTCTTCGTATTCGATTTTATTGATTGTTCTTTGATTTACTTCAGAGCCCCAATCTGCAGAGGAGATACCAGATCTTCTCTTCGAGGAGAATGAAGAAGAGTATTCAGGAGAAGAGATCGTTGATGAACTGGAAATATCGTTGGTTTTTGCTGACTTTGAAACCAAATCATCCAACCAGCCTGAAGATGAAAAAGTCACCCCATCACTTATTCAACTAGAAGCAGAACTGACTTCTGCAGGTATGTGAGAAACTTCTTTTCTAGTCATCAATAATTGTAATGGTAAATGGTTTCTAATGATCTTTGAGATTACTCATCTCTTCATATTCGACTTTATTGATTGTTCTTTGATTTACTTCAGAGCCCCAACCTGCAGAGGAGACACCAGATCTTCTCTTTGAGGAGGATGAAGAAGAGTATTCGGAAGTAAAGGTCATTGATCAACTGGAAATCTCGTTGGTTTTGGCTGACTCTGAAACCAAATTATCCAACCAGCCTGAAGATGAAAAAGTCACTCCATCATTTATTCAACTAGAAGCAGAACTGACGTCTGCAGGTATGTGAGAAACTTCTTTTTTAGGCAATAATATAATGTAATGAATGATAAATGGTTTCTAATGATCTTTGAGATTACTCATCTATTCGTATTCATTGATTGTTCTTTGCTTTACTTCAGAGCCCCAACCTGCAGAGGATATACCAGATCTTCTCTTTGAGGAGGATGAAGAAGAGCCTTCGGTTGTATTGGAACCTCCATTACCTTTCTCTTCATCTGCTCCAATTGACGTAAACCAGATATCGTCTGGTACGTTATGTTTCATTTTTTTTAAATATGCACATTTTCTGTTTTCTTTTCATGGAGCGCTAAAACCTGCTGCTTTCAAAATATTGAGCAGATGAAGGTGTCATCATTTCGACCAATTTTTGCAATTCTTTCAGATCCATCAGAGAAGCCGAAGCAGGAACTGCCTGTTTATAAGGAGGAGGCAAGCGTATGGAATAACAATGTCATTCAAGAAAAAGAAAAGTCATTGTCAATCAATATCTGGGATATTCCAACATCAATCAAACTTGTGCCACAAGGTGACGAAGGTTCCACATCATCGGAACAATTCGCAGGTGGCTCTCTCGAGAAGCAATATCCGTCAGGTATTATCAGAAGCCATTTTATGTTTAGTCTATCAAAGAAATTTCGACTCTCGAATTGTATCCTCTGAAAGGCAAAATTACTAAAATGTAAACAAAACTCCTGGTTGGCTGAAACAGTTCCCCTTACTAGAGTTATGATATAGATATTTGCTCGCTTGGACTCTTCAATTTGACTTTCATGATAAATCGACGCTATAACCATTAGTTAAATATATATTTAAAGAGAAAACAGTTGGTTCAATCGGTCTAGCGTATTTCTATTTAGCATGAAAATTTAAGCAGAAAACGAGAAAGGAAATCTTGACAATGGTCTCACTCTGTTTGCAGGGAATAACGCTGCTTCATCGAAGAAACTCGGTCCCTACTACAATGTGGTACTATCCAGAACTGGTATTTCTGTGTATGATGAAGAAGCTGAAAAGCTTAAAACAAACTGCAACCAATTTGTGAAATTGCTTGAGGAAATCGAATGTTCTTTCAACTATTTTGACGATGGATTCAAACGAATAGAATCGCGGCTGCATGGTGCAGGAAAGCAGCGAATGGAAAAGGAAGATGTCGTCCATGAAAACAAACGGCTGGCTTTATTGAACGAAGAGCTCTGTAAAAAAGTGGAAGTTTTAAGCAAGCATCTTGAACAGGAAGTCAACATGCAGAAAGGTATGAGAGAATATCAATTTAACCTGGAGACCGACAATGAGCAGCTTCGTTTGCAAGCCGATAAGCTTATGAAGGATAAAAACAAAGACGAAGTTTTACTTGGGCTTCTCGAAAAAGAAAATGAGGAGCTATTGGTCAAGTCTTTCAAATTAAATGAATTGGAAATTCAAGAGAAGAAAACACAAGAAGAGATGGAAAAATGTTTGACTGAGCTTTCAAAGATCGAAGACATTGTCAAGCAAAAGGATGAGGAGAGAACACATCTAGAAGAAGGAATATTTCAGCTACAAAAGAAGTGGGAAACAGAACACTTAAGGCTATTGGAGGCACAAGAAGAAAATGACAGTTTAATATCTAAAATTTCCGATTATCGCGTCAAGTTGGATCACCTTGAAAGAGAACATCAACTGACTCAAGAGGTGTCCAAAGAGCAACGTGGAACAATTTCGTCTTTAAACTTAAGAAAAGCTGATCTTTCAGTTGAGATTGATAGTTTGAAATTTCGTCTAAGAAGCTTTGTGAATTTGGAAGAGCAGAATGAGTCGCTAAATGAAGAGCTACGAAAAGCAAAGAACAATTTACGTGCAATGGAGAATGTGTACACGGTTTCAATGGCCGATGCGATAAAGTTTCGCGGCAAATATGATGAGGCATGTTATGAGCTTGAAGGGCTCCAAGCAACGATTGATTTGCTATCGACTGAGAAAAAGGAACTGAGTGAAAAATGTGACAGATTGGAAAATGCAATGACTAGAGAATTGTTTGAGCATGAAGGAACTTTGAAAAGTACTGACGGGAAAACCAAGGCACTTGAATCAAACTTGAATTTGGTAAGTTTAGTTGTGTTAGCATATTAGTTTAGGTTAACTAGTGTTATCGTATCTGTCATGTTTATTTGTGTTACTATGGGTAGAAAAAGAATATCAACGACCTAGCGACAGTTGCAACGGGCCGCAAAAATATGATTGCCAGTTCGGAAAGGTGAATTGTTGGAGCACCTAAACAAAAGTAGCATAAATTTAAAAGTTGTTTCTCTTCCCCTCCTCCATTACAGTTTTGCTTATTACTACATGATTGTCAGTGACAACCTAGCTGGGACTGGATGCATAAACACTTCTAATGAAGGAAACAAAATTGTACGCGAGGAGAGAGCGAGGATAGAGCAACAGCAATGATGACTTGGAGATGAAGTTAAATCCTGGGATGGTGAACTTTTGGCCGAGATTATTGTAGTGTTCCAGCTTTTCTGGCTAGGATTGAAGTTCAGGATGCTGTTGCATTATGGCCATATAACAGTCCCTTAAAAATAATACTTCCTATCAGTAATACCTATCATTGAATCTTGTTTGGTAAAAGAGACTTTAGGCCATTAGAGCAACACAGAACCTTCCATTCTTAGATTGTTGGACATTGTTGACAAATCTGATGATATGTATTCTTTTGCCCGTTTTCATCAAATTGCTGCGTATTTGGAAAATGCTCAAGAAGCCTTGATATTCAAGCAAGATTCATTGTTTCGTCATTGCGTGAATTCTCCTTGCATTTCTGCACCGTACGAGTTTCACGCAGACGGGAGTTAGTGCCTTTTTGAAAACAGCGCTGCGATTAGTAGCCTGTAACGCCACGTCAATTTAAACATTAAAAGATGATTTGTACTTATTTTGTAGAAAAATGTGCCAGAAGATAGCAGCTTTTGGGGAAATGAAGCCAAGAGAAGCAAAGATTATAAAACTAATTTTGATTAAGGACCAAAAATTGAACCAAACAAAATTGACCATTCTATAATGGTTGTAGTAGCATGAATTGGTATGACTTAACTTAGCAAGTTGATTTATTTACTGAACATTGTTGAACAAATAGAGTCAACAATATTGTGAAAATATGAATTTTGTAGTAGAGAAAATCATGGCATATGAGGGTTTATCTATATTTTCAATGCCTGTGTATTTGTTCAGAGAATTCTTGAAGGCAAAAAACGGAACTGATAAACAGAAACTTTCAATCACTATGGCCAAAGATTCTTTTGGTTGGGTGTTGACATATCTACTTGTGGCTGAAAAAGAAATTAAGATGATATTTTTTATTTACAATACGGGTGGCTTGACTTACAGTGAATATCATCTTGAAAATATAGTATTTGACAACTTTATCAGGGTTAGGCCTATGTGTGCAATGGTACAATGATTGATGAATGCCAACTGAAGCAGAAAATAAGGATTAACAGTGGTGGTCGCCCCATGGTCCTTGGATGCGGTTGAAGAGCCTGTGGTGTCTAAATGCTTTCAAGGTCAAACAGTAATGTAACAACCAAGTGCCAAGTTCAAAATTCGAGCATTAAAACAACAAACAAGCAAAAAGTAGATTATGAAGTTTCAATGCTTGAGCTTAATATTAAAGAAAACAGGAAACAGTTTTCCAAAGAAATTTTAATCAAAATATCATAGATTAATAATAGAGCATTTTTGCTGCAAGATACCGGGTCTCTCTGTTACTGGCAAACTATCTGAAAGATTGTCAGATTATGGAAACGGAAGGCCAAAACCAGAAATAACTTGCGAATTAAGACAACTTGCAAATAGAGGCATACCACACAATTACAATAGATAAGATATGTGCTTATTTCTTACTAAAGTAGAAAAGGTTATGCCTGATAACATATTCATTGCATTTATAAAGTAATTGTGAACATCTGAATTTCATCTAATTTCTGCTTAAAAACATCCATAAATTATCAAGCTTACCACTACATTAAATGAGCTAGCACAATAATGGCTACTGAAACTATTTCAAAAAAATATCTATCAATCAAATTAACATGCAAAATACTGGTTTTGATGTGGATCATGTTTGCAGTTTTTCCATTCAATATAATACACTGTATAGGATTTTCACAATACAAGATATTCAGCATTAAATGCTTCATATTTTTTTACTTTTGCCCAGAAAGGTCCTACCTGAAATCCACTGCCAGCTGAGTTAAGAAGTAAAACAACAGGATTGAAAACTAGATATCAATGCAGTGCTGTGGATAAATACAGTTGACATCGACTATCAGCAAAAAGAGACATTGTTTCAAACACTGGACAAAGAAACATGCCAAGAGAATTATGCTCTAAGTATCCATCAATAACTTAATCTTTTTGATGAAAAATGGGGAAGAACTGCAAGAAGGGCTTGGAAAATTTCCCAATTCCAGTAATCTCCTGAATGTTGGAAAGGGATGAAAAATAATTACTGAACATTGGTTTGAGATAATGAGGTAATACGAAGTTATACGGAATGACACTATAACAAGGCCAAGAGCAGTTGCCAAAGAGGAGGTGGAGGATTGAGGACTATAGAAATGCGACGAAGGAGATGGTGTCCAAGTATGGTTTGTTTTTAGAGTACAGAGACATGCTACACAAGCATAATCTCAAGCTCAGAAATATTTTAGAACTGAACTTTGAATTGTATTTTTCTAATTTAATTGAGTATTTTATGAGTTGGGGCATTAAAAGAACTTTCAAAATTTTGAAGGGACATCTATTATTTCAAATGTTTGCTAACTCAAACAAATTAAAGTTTCCCTAGAGAGATCAAGAAAGAGGACATCAATTGTATTGGCAAATGAGATAACACACACAATTTGTTTATGTGATACAGCACTGCTATGTAGAAAGCTGTATCTGGTCACTTGATGGATTCTTTTGACAGTTCTATTGTAATGCTTCAATAAATGCACTGTACTACTCACTTGGAACTGGAGGAAGCGGACGAAAAATGCAATTGTCATTGTCACTGTCATCAGCTGATAAGCATTTACTGGAATCAAATGCTAGTTGGTGTGCATAGCTTTGCACCAATTGATGGATTCTTTCACCATCTTTAGTCTTGAAAACAAACATACCCTCCCCAGTGTCACAGCGTCTGCAGAAACAAAGACATAAATAACCCATATACACTTGAAATTATTATTTAAGAATTTATGGTAAGTATGCTCCTAGTTGTAGATTCAAGAAATGATAAATTTACGGTAATTTTATAAAGTTTGTATTTTTTATTCTAAAAAGCTTGGTAAAATCATAGTAAGCAGGGTTTTTTCCAAAAATCAAAAGGTAAGAAAACAGCTTTTTACAAGATGCATTTAATAGAGGATCCAAGTCAGAAAGATTGAGCATGTGAATGATGATAAAATATAATGTATGACTAAATTAAAGATATATTTTGTGTCTGTCATTGCATAAGATATTGCTTTGTTACCTTCCAGCCTCAAAAGTAAACCTAGTGGCATCAAAACCAAACCACCGTAAGGATGGTATTGGCCATGAAGCATTTTACATCAAAGAGTATGATTTCTTCTGTTGAAACTTCAAGATCATAATCCCCAGATATACTTATTAGTTTTGCTGATGGTTGAAGGTAGACTGAGAACAACTCGATAGTCTTCAAAAATTTATGGTGGACTCCAGGGGCAGATCCAGAAAAAAATTTGAGGGGTGCTCAGTTTTGGGTGGGGCTGGTGTGATGATATTCAAAATTTATGCTGATTAGAATTTCTTTTGGACATTCAAAGAGCAAGGGTTGTCAATACCTGTTTTTTTAAATATTTGATTTTAAAACAATTATTTTCTCAACTTCTGGCAATGTGCTATTTCAAATAAAACCGATACATAAAATACAACAAAATGATACTAAGAAACAATTGTAATTGCTTTTCTCTCGGTTAAAATAAAATAAAACATTTGATTTCTGCTTCCATCATTCTGACTACTTAATAAACATTTTTAAAATACAGCTACTTTTAATAGATGAAATAAATATCATTGATGTTTCTGTCAGTTTATGTACGAATTAATATCTTGTTAATGATTTCGGGAAGATGACAATATTCTGGGCAATCAGTAGGTCTGTAAGACTGAGCTCTTGTGGCTATTTAATTGAGATTCATAGAAGTTTCATAAACACCAAATTAAAAACCCAGAGGTTTAATATTTGATCTCTTGCATCGCATCAAGTTTAAAAAATGCATTATAGGCCTCACCTCATTACACACGCGTTTGTTCTATTAAAATTTCAAAAGAAATCGCTTCACTTCTGTTGTGACTGGCGATCGCCATTTCTACACAACAACTACAACATGCTTCTTCCGCCTGCCTAAATGAAAATTTGAACTACGTTTGACAATAGGGGGTGCTCCCGCCAAAAGTGAGCACCCGCGATATCAGAAGCCGATTGGTTGCTTTACAATCGCGGGAGCTCAAGGTCATTCACTGATTGGCTATAGTTAGTTTGCGAGAGACTAAAGCACAGACCAGGGGGTGCTGGAAATTTTAGAAACGATAAAAAGCAACACAGTCTGGTCCGTAAATTAACTGGCTTTGAAAATACAGAGAGCGGGCTAGAAGTGCTCAGACGGGACAGAAATTATTTTCTCGGCGGAATACAAATGAAAACCTCCGATTTAGTGTCCGCCTACTCTGAAATTTCAAAATATAACATCCTGAATGATTTGACGGGTGCTCAAGCACCCATAGCACCCCCCCCCCCTAGATGTGAGAGGTGCTTCTATTTATATTATTGAGATGGTAGAGCAAGGAAACACACTCTTTACATTTTCATATCTTGAAAATCATTCAAGATTTATAACTTAACTGAACGAGGATACGAAGAAAACTCAACTACGCTTTACAAAGCTTCGGATTAAATAGTACTTGTCACGTGATTATAAAAGGTCATGTGATCTGGGGAGCGTCCTACTACATAGATCCGCCCCTGGGTGGATATTAAGCCATGCTGTTTCTGGTGGCATTTTGTCTGCTACACGAACCATGCTGGCCAGGTTGTTCTCTATCAAATATGCAACCAAATTGCGCCCAACAAAACCACATCCACCGAGAACAAGAACTTTTGCTTCAGCCATAATGTGAAGTGATAGGCCCTTCAAATCCACTGCTAAACAACAGAAAGGGTGTGTTGTTTACTCTCAATGACCAAAGATGCCTTGGATATGTCACAATGACAGCGTAAATAATTCGCTAGTGTGAAAATGTGATCTTTCCGGCGTGCTCTTTCGATCTGTTCTTGCTGAACTGGCTTCACCAGCCTCACTTCCCCGTAGCAACGTGAGGGAGAGTTCTCCTCGACAACCCGCCTTCTCAGCAGCTCTGCTTGAAAAGGACAGACTCGAAAAACCCTCGTTTGATCTAAAAATTTTGTTGAATTAATTTTCGGTAGATACATCATTATTAATTTATCCATTTCATTCATTCATATGTCTGAGGTCGCTCTTCATATGAATAAGGAAGATCGCTCTTCAACAATGTAGCCTGTGTCCCAGACCCCTAACTTGAAAGTAAACCTCAAATGTCTGGAGCAACATTCGTTTTCTATGCATTTTCTACATGCAATATGTATCCCTTACTGTTTCTGGTTCTCCTTAATCAATAACCAACAGAATCTCAAGTTCACTATTATTTCTTCTCTCTCGCCCTTTACACCCGAGTAATCCAAGCTCTCCATGGGGCCTCTATGTGCTGTACTGATCCTACTATGAACGCTTCATAATTATTTTGGATTATTTTTCTAATGTTTTTTATGATTCATTGGCAATGGAAAATATAACGAGCTGTTGAATTCTTTAATAGTCTCCTCCCCCATGAGTTTAGAAACGAAATGGCTTCTGAGATTTCACTGTGAACATTTTATCGTAGATATTTGTTCTGGATAGTAATTCTAAGTTGTTAAAAATGCACTTGTATGAATTATCGACAGGATAAGGTTTTTTCTTATCAGAATCGAAAATGGGAATTTTTCCCGTACTCTGTTGTTTCAAAGAAAACACTTTGTTTGTGAAAAATCGAAAAGTAAGCGATTCTTCTGGTGGTCGAAGAATTTTTCTGGATAAAACTTAGGTTTCGTATTCAAGCGGTAAAAGTGACGTAAAATCTGAAAACTGTCTGCTTTAACAACCTGATGCTTATAAATACACAGTCGATCAATGAACACCCATTATTGAAATGTTTTTTGATAATCTTAGCAGTAAGACTTGTTCTTCATTTCTTTTAATTTGCCCTTCTGCCAAATTCTGCAAATTAGGTACCAGGCTTTTCGCTTCCAAATCAACTATGACGATGGATAATCCTTCATTGATATGACGTCAAATTACGAACAATCTGTAACTTATCATCTTCGGTTAACATTTTTAATCAGTTGAGTTGTGAACGTCGGTTGAGAAGGATTGACAATGTTGTCGAAGTTTTTTCACCGCTCAACAGCGAGTACGAATGAAGACGGCTTAAACCTTTGGGATCTTCCAAGGTTACACCGAGCCGCGTACAAGAACAAGATTCAGAAACTGCAAAGTCTTTTAAAGAAAAGACGAGTTGATATCAACAAGAAGGATGTCGAAGGACGGTAAGTTATCCCTAAAAGTTTTTAACAGTACAATGTCTTGCTTTCTAGAGAACTTTTTAATAAAGACATATTTCACTCATCTTTATTCGGCAATCAGCTTTATTTATTCCTCGTTCCAATTTATTTTCTTTATGATAAATCAAATGATAATAAAGCAGAACATATTAGTTTGAAATGTTTCCAAGATATTCTGACAATTCCTTTTTAATTACATTTGATTTCTATTCTTTAACAGATTTTGTTAATAGTCCTTATTTGTTTCACATATATTTTAACCTTTTAAACGAATTCAAATCATTTGTATTCGTGCTATCTAGCATCAATAAAATTATTACACGTTATACTATCTTTATCCTGTTCTTGCGTTATATCTCACCACTAGTGTACATTTAATTTGTGTCTTGTGTCATTTGCTGTGTCTTTACAGTGCCTATAAATGTTTATCCCCCTCCCTTAAATTTTTATCTTTCCTGGAAAGAAATCTGTGATATTTTTGGCCTTTCAAAGGGGTCTACAAACTTAGAATTATTGTTTTCTTTGATACTTTAATTTTCTATGTAGCAATTTGAGTTTTTGCTTTCTTCGTGAAAAACGTTAGTCTCTTTAGTTATCTATAGATAAAGGTTGCATAAATTCTATTGTGATTTTGCAGCACGGCACTGCATTATGGATGCCTCGCCGGCAGAATTCAAGTGGTACGGCTCATTTTGGATGCTGATGGCAAAATCACTATTGACAGATTTGGGAGGAGTCCTGTTTTTATGGTAAGTTATATCTCTCTTTAAACATGGTTCTGATCATTAGTATCAATTTTTGCGTCCTACCTTTCCTTTCACGTTGGCACCCCTCACTGCTATTAAACATAGTTGAAATTTAAGGTAACAATTTCAGGCAACTTTATAGATCATTTTCTTTTTTAAACCAACATTTTTAAAGTAGAGAGGAAAGTGGCTGAATTTGATCTCTTTCCTTCTGTTGTAATCTGTCACCAATCCTAATGACGATTCTTTTTGAACAGGCAATCAAAAACGGACATTTGGATATAGTCAAAGTATTCTACGGAATAGAGTTTGACTTCAACCGACCTGACCACGCAGGGACCACACCACTGCATTACGCCATTTTCAGAAAGAAAATGGAGATTGCAGAATACCTGGTGAAACAAGTGCATGTGAATGTGAATGCAAGAGATATGGTAAGTCACCTTGCTATAAGTTTATTCTTATATGCTGGATAAAAGTACACCTGAACAAAGACAGCCGAAATAGGAAGTGTGATAATTGAAAGCCTCTTCTCTGTTATTAAAAGATCTTCAACATAACTAGAAAAAGCTCTTTCTTGCATTATTGATGAAACTAGTTTCCACAACAAGTATCAAGAATGAGACACTGCTTCATCACAAACTATCTTGATTAAGATTTCAGAGCAAGTCAACACAATCCACGATATCGTAACGATTCCGGAATGGTTTCTTGTTTGGTAATGCCTTGTAAAAGTAGAACTCTATGATCAACACCATAGGGTAATCAGAAAAAACAAGGCTACAACTAGAAACAGTGCAAGATATCTATAAATACAGATGATGATTTACGAGTCTCTCTTACTCATTAACCTATGCTGAATCTTTGAAGTCTAAAAATCATTAAAATGTAGCATTCATATATTGATTGGTGTAAAGCATGCATGCATTCATAAATACCTAAGAACTCCCACTCATAAAACTTGAATTTTCACAGCATATATCTACGCCACTGCACGAAGCAGTCCTTGCTGGGTTGCCAAATGTGGTTTTATTGCTAGTGAAAAATGGAGCAGAAACAGAAATCAGAGAGATAATCGGAAAGTAAGTATGGTTTGAATCAATTTTTAAACGCTTTATGGAAATGAATTTTGTAGTTGTTCGTTAAAATAGCATACTTCAACTGACTTTGTTAACATTGCACAAGGCCTCAATATATAGATTTATTGCTCTTCGTTATTTAGCCAATCTGAAAAAGGTTCTTTTCTAATTATTTCAATTGGTGTTGCTAATGATCCAATATTAAGAAAGCATATAAAAGTTATATGTAACGAAATGTAAATACCTGATATTTTGCTTTTTCAACACAGGACCCCCTTGTTGCTGGCGATCGTCAAAGGAGAAGAGGAATGTGTTGAGATCCTCTTACGCTATGGTGCAGAAATCTACCGTACAAGATACAGCAGCCTCGCAGAGGACAAGGCTCTTCAATTTGGCCAGAAAAGGTATAGCAACACAATTGAAAATTTCATTAGAAATCTGAGCTAGTAAAACAACAAAGCTATACTTGTTTTAGCATTAAGAATCTTAAGTTTAAAGTCCTAACGAGAAGTGAATTGTTAGTTGTAGTAAAACACAAACTCTCAAAGCCTTTGTGATAATTTCATAGCGAACGCAACCAATGTAAAATTTAGCCGCTTTCCATAAAATCATTTTGGAAGAGCACAGCTATCCCACACTAATACAATCTCAATCATTTCTAGGATATATGAAATGCTTCAGACTTTTAGATCAAAGCACGAGAGGAGAATTGAATTCATCGGTAGGTTTGTTAAAAGCTATTCCATACATCTGAAATGTAAAGTCTTTTATTGTGAAAACTCTATCTCTAGAAAACCTTGTGGAGTTACGTCCCAATGTCTGCTTTATGGCCGAAGGTGCCCAACCGTTTAAGCTTGGTAAAGTGGATTCAAAATACCGGACTGAAAAGTTTGATTCTAAGTCACGAACTGGGAACTCCGGGGAGCAACAAGTAATACTCGCAGAGAAGCAAAATGTTTGAGAATAAAAAAATGAATTAAGGATTAAAGCTTTGAAGAATCTACAGCCATTAAAAAAAGAATTAAGGGTTTAAGAAAAAATCAAAAAAATGAAACTAACACCTCCAAAGTAAACGCTTAACCTTTGCGGCGGTCACATATATCCTGAAGCTAAGGTTGGGTACCTATCTGCAGTAGTCAAAGACGTAAACCTTGCCTAAAATAATTAGAATTTCATACACCATACTTGCATAGCCTCAGTGAATTGGTTACAAAATAATTTGCGTTTTTGAGACTGAAAAATGTCTTTCAGATCCAAATCTCTTGAACATCAAGTCGTCATTGATGACAAAAGAAGATGGAAGCTTAGCAGAAAATGCAAATGCAGCTATGCACGAAGAAGACCACGAAGTCGTTGCATTTCACGAGAATTCGCATGATTCTGGTCTAGAATTAGGGTCATCAAGCAGGCAAATTGACAGACGTAACCAACTTGACAACTCTGTAAGCTTAGAATCTCAGGAAGTCATCGAAATGTGCATTAACATCGGTAAGTTATGACTTTCTCTTTCCTTTTTTTATGTATTCTGTCAGTTCTTAGGTACCTCCAGATTGTTTACAATCATTTAGTTCCTTGGTTAAGGCAGTCACTCTTTTTAAAAAGTATGCTTACAATGGCAGAAATAAAATCATATTTCATTAAAAAACAAGGTACCTATTTTAACACAACATACTAAGACTGAAGAATTCATTATTCCAAGTTCAAAATAAATCACCAGTATTTCTCAATCCATTCATTTCAGAGCCCCAACTTGCAGAGGAGATACCAGATCTTCTCTTTGAGGAGGATGAAGAAGAAAATCCGGAAGAAGAGATCATTGATGAACAGGAAATTTCGTTGGTTTTTGCTGACTTTGAAACGCCAACATCCAACCAGCCATTGCTTGAAGTTGAACAAGTCACCCCATCACTAATTCAACTAGAAGCAGAACTGACTTCTGCAGGTATGTGAGAAACTTCTTTCTTAGGCATCAATAGAATGTAATGGTAAATGGTTTCTAATGATCTTTGAGATTACTCATCTCTTCGTATTCGATTTTATTGATTGTTCTTTGATTTACTTCAGAGCCCCAATCTGCAGAGGAGATACCAGATCTTCTCTTCGAGGAGAATGAAGAAGAGTATTCAGGAGAAGAGATCGTTGATGAACTGGAAATATCGTTGGTTTTTTGCTGACTTTGAAACCCAATCATCCAACCAGCCTGAAGTTCAACAAGTCACCCCATCACTTACTCAACTAGAAGCAGAACTGACTTCTGCAGGTATGTGAGCAACTTCTTTTTAACGCATCAATAGAATGTAATGGTAAATGGTTTCTAATGATCTTTGAGATTACTCATCTCTTCGTATTCGAATTTATTGATTGTTTTTTGATTTACTTCAGAGCCCCAACCTGCAGAGGAGATACCAGATCTTCTCTTTGAGGAGGATGAAGAAGATCCTTCGGTTGTATTGGAACCTCCAATATCTTTCTCTTCATCTACTCCAATTGACGTAAACCAGGGGTCGTCTGGTACGTTATGTTTCATTTTTTTTCAATATGCACATTTTCTGTTTTCTTTTCATGGAGCGCTAAAACCTACTGCTTTCAAAATATTGAGCAGATGAAGGTGTCATCATTTCCACCTATTTTTGCAATTCTTTCAGATCCATCAGAGAAGCCGAAGCAGGAACTGCCTGTTTATAAGGAAGAGGCAAGCGCATGGAATAACAATGTCATTCAAGAAAAAGAAAAGTCATTGTCAATCAATTACTGGAATATTCCAACATCAATCAAACTTGTGCCACAAGGTGACGAAGGTTCATCGGAACAATTCGCAGGTGGCTCTCTCGAGAAGCAATATCCGTCAGGTATTATCAGAAGCCATTTTATGTTTAGTCTATCAAAGAAATTTCGACTCTCGAATTGTATCCTCTGAAAGGCAAAATTACTAAAATGTAAACAAAACTCCTGATTGGCTGAAACAGTTCCCCTTACTAGAGTTATGATATAGATATTTGCTCGCTTGGACTCTTCAATTTGACTTTCATGATAAATCGACGCTATAACCATTAGTTAAATATATATTTAAAGAGAAAACAGTTGGTTCAATCGGTCTAGAGTATTTCTATTTAGCATGAAAATTTAAGCAGAAAACGAGAAAGGAAATCTTGACTATGGTCTCACTCTGTTTGCAGGGAATAACGCTGCTTCATCGAAGAAACTCGGTCCCTACTACAATGTGGTACTATCCAGAACTGGTATTTCTGTGTATGATGAAGAAGCTGAAAAGCTTAAAACAAACTGCAACCAATTTGTGAAATTGCTTGAGGAAATCGAATGTTCTTTCAACTATTTTGACGATGGATTCAAACGAATAGAATCGCGGCTGCATGGTGCAGGAAAGCAGCGAATGGAAAAGGAAGATGTCGTCCATGAAAACAAACGGCTGGCTTTATTGAACGAAGAGCTCTGTAAAAAAGTGGAAGTTTTAAGCAAGCAACTTGAACAGGAAGTCAACATGCAGAAAGGTATGAGAGAATATCAATTTAACCTGGAGACCGACAATGACCAGCTTCGTTTGCAAGCCGATAAGCTTATGAAGGATAAAAACAAAGACGAAGTTTTACTTGGGCTTCTCGAAAAAGAAAATGAGGAGCTATTGGTCAAGTCTTTCAGATTAAATGAATTGGAAATTCAAGAGAAGAAAACACAAGAAGAGATGGAAAAATGTTTGACTGAGCTTTCAAAGATCGAAGACATTGTCAAGCAAAAGGATGAGGAGAGAACACATCTAGAAGAAGGAATATTTCAGCTACAAAAGAAGTGGGAAACAGAACACTCAAGGCTATTGGAGGCACAAGAAGAAAATGACAGTTTAATATCTAAAATTTCCGATTATCGCGTCAAGTTGGATCACCTTGAAAGAGAACATCAACTGACTCAAGAGGTGTCCAAAGAGCAACGTGGAACAATTTCGTCTTTAAACTTAAGAAAAGCTGATCTTTCAGTTGAGATTGATAGTTTGAAATTTCGTCTAAGAAGCTTTGTGAATTTGGAAGAGCAGAATGAGTCGCTAAATGAAGAGCTACGAAAAGCAAAGAACAATTTACGTGCAATGGAGAATGTGTACACGGTTTCAATGGCCGATGCGATAAAGTTTCGCGGCAAATATGATGAGGCATGTTATGAGCTTGAAGGGCTCCAAGCAACGATTGATTTGCTATCGACTGAGAAAAAGGAACTGAGTGAAAAATGTGACAGATTGGAAAATGCAATGACTAGAGAATTGTTTGAGCATGAAGGAACTTTGAAAAGTACTGACGGGAAAACCAAGGCACTTGAATCAAACTTGAATTTGGTAAGTTTAGTTGTGTTAGCATATTAGTTTAGGTTAACTAGTGTTATCGTATCTGTCATGTTTATTTGTGTTACTATGGGTAGAAAAAGAATATCAACGACCTAGCGACAGTTGCAACGGGCCGCAAAAATATGATTGCCAGTTCGGAAAGGTGAATTGTTGGAGCACCTAAACAAAAGTAGCATAAATTTAAAAGTTGTTTCTTTTCCCCTCCTCCATTACAGTTTTGCTTATTACTACATGATTGTCAGTGACAACCTAGCTGGGACTGGATGCATAAACACTTCTAATGAAGGAAACAAAATTGTACGTGAGGAGAGAGGGAGAATAGAGCAACAGCAATGATGACTTGGAGATGAAGTTAAATCCTGGGATGGCGAACTTTTGACCGAGATTATTGTAGCGTTCCATCTTTTCTGGCAAGGATTGAAGTTCAGGATGCTGTTGCTTTTTGGCCATATAACAGTCCCTTAAAAATAATACTTCCTATCAGTAATACCTATCATTGAAGAACAACACAGAACCTTCCATTCTTAGATTGTTGGAAATTGTTGACAAATCTAATGATATGTATTCTTTTGCCCGTTTTCATCAAATTGCTGCGTATTTGGAAAATGCTCAAGAAGCCTTGATATTCAAGCAAGATTCATTGTTTCGTCATTGCGTGAATTCTCCTTGCATTTCTGCACCGTACGAGTTTCACGCAGACGGGAGTTAGTGCCTTTTTGAAAACAGCGCTGCGATTAGTAGCCTGTAACGCCACGTCAATTTAAACATTAAAAGATGATTTGTACTTATTTTTTAGAAAAATGTGCCAGAAGATAGCAGCTTTTGGGGAAATGAAGCCAAGAGAAGCGAAGATTATAAAACTAATTTTGATTAAGGACCAAAAATTGAACCAAACAAAATTGACCATTTCATAATGGTGGTAGTAGCTTAATTTGGTATGACTAAACTAAAAATGTAAAAAGCAAATTGATTTATTTAATGAACATTGTTGAACAAATAGAGTCAACAGTATTGTGATAATATGAATTTTGTAGTAGAGAAAATCATGGCATATGAGGGTTTATCTATATTTTCTATGCCTGTGTATTTGTTCAGAGTATTCTTGAAGGCAAAAAACGGAATTGATAAACAGAAACTTTCTATCATTATGGCCAAAGATTCTTTTGGTTGGGTGTTGACATATCTACTTGTGGCTGAAAAAGAAATTAAGATGATATTTTTCATTTATAATACGGGTGGCTTCATTTATAATATCATCTTGAAAAGACAGTATTTGACAATCTCATCAAGGTTAGGCCTATCTGTGCAATGATTGATGACTGCCAACCAAAGCAGAAAGTAAGGATTTCCCAATTCCAATAATCTCCTGAATGTTGCAAAGGGATGAAAAATATTGGTTTGAGATAATGAGGTAATAGGAAGTTCTATGGAATGACACTATAACAAGGCCGAGAGCAGTTGCCATAGAGAAGGTGGAGGATGAGGACTATAGAAATGCTACGAAGGAGATGGTGTCCAAGTATGGTTTGCTTTTAGAGTACAGAGACATGCTACACAAGCATAATCTTAAGCTCAGAAATATTTTAGAACTGAACTTTGAATTGTATTTTTCTAATATAATTGAGTATTTTATGAGTTGGGGCATTAAAAGAACTTTCAAAATTTTGAAGGGACGTATCTATTATTTCAAATGTTTGCTAACTCAAACAAATTAAAGTTTCCCTAGAGAGATCAAGAAAGAGGACATCAACTGTATTGGCAACTGAGACAACACACACAATTTTTTCATGTGATACAGCATTGCTATGTAGAAAGCTTTATCTGGTCACTTGATGGATTCTTTTGACAGTTCTATTGTAATGCTTCAATAAGTGCACTGTACTACTCACTTGGAACTGGAGGAAGTGGACGAAAAAGGCAATTGTCATTGTCACTGTCATCAGCTGATAAGCATTTACTGGAATCAAATGCTAGTTGGTGTGCATAGCTTTGCACCAATTGATGGATTCTTTCACCATCTTTAGTCTTGAAAACAAACATACCCTCCTCAGTGTCACAGCGTCTGCAGAAGAAAGACATAAATAACCCATATACACTTGAAATCATTATTTAAGAATTTATGGTAAGTATGCTCCTAGTTGTAGATTCAAGAAATGATAAAGTTACAGTAATTTTATAAAGTTTGTATTTTTTATTCTAATAAGCTTGGTAAAATCATAGTAAGCAGAATTTTCCAAAATCAAAAGGTAAAAAAACAGCTTCTACAAGATTCATTTAAAAGAGGATCCAAGTCAGAAAGTTTGGGCATGTGAATGATGATAAAATATAAGATGTATGACTAAATTTAAGATATATTTTGTGTCTGTCATTGCATAAAATATTGCTTTGTTTCCTTCCAGCCTAAAAAATAGACCTAGTGGCATCAAAACCAAACTGCCGTAAGGATGATATTGGCCATGAAACAAGTGTCACATTGGAGCATTTTACATCAAAGAGTATAATTTCTTCTGTTGAAACTTCAAGATCATAACCCCTAGATATACTTAGTTTTGCTGATGGTTGAAGGTAGACTGAGAACAACTCGATAGTCTTAGAAGATTTTCTTATGGTGGCCAGGGGCGGATCCAGAAAAAAATTTGAGGGGTGCTCAGTTTGGGTGGGGCGTGTATCATGCCCTTCAAAATTTATGCTGATTAGAATTTCTTTTGGACATTCAAAGAGCAAGGGTTGTCAATACCTGTTTTTTCAATATTTGATTTTAAAACAATTATCTGCTCAACTTCCGGCAATTTGCTATTTCAAATGAAAGCGATACATAAAATACAACAAAATGATACTAAGAAACAATTGTAATTGCTTTTCTCTCGGTTAAAATAAAAACAATAAATATTTGATTTCTTCTTCCATCATTTTGACCACTTAATAAACATTTTTAAAATACAGCTACTTCTAATATATGAAATAAATATCATTAATGTTTCTGTCAGTTTATGTACTAATTAATATCTGGTTAATGATTTTGGAAAGATGACAATATTCTGGGGAATCAGTAGGTCTGTAAGACTGAGCTCTTGGCTATATAATTGAGATTCATAGATAGAAGTTTCATAAACACCAAATCAAAAACCCAGAGGTTTATAATTTGATCTCTTGCATCGCATCAAGTTTAAAAAATGAAATATAGGCCTCACCTCATTACACACGCTTTTGTTCTATTAAAATTTCAAAAGAAATCGCGTCACTTCTGTTGTGACTGGCGATCGCCATTTCTACACAACAACTACAACATGCTTCTTCCGCCTGCCTAAATGAAAATTTGAACTACGTTTGACAATAGGGGGTGCTCCCGCCAAAAGTGAGCACCCGCGATATCAGAAGCCGATTGGTTGCTTTACAATCGCGGGAGCTCAAGGTCATTCACTGACAGAAATTGATTTTCTCGGCGGAATACAAATGAAAACCTCTAAGTTAGTGTCCGCCTGCTCTGAAATTTCAAAATGTCACATCCTGAATGATTTGACGGGTGCTCAAGCACCCATAGCACCCCCTAGATCCGCCCCTGGGTGGATATTAAGCCATGCTGTTTGGGTGGCATTTTGTCTGCTACACGAACTATGCTGGCCAGGTTGTTCTCTATCAAATATGCAACCAAATTGCGCCCAACAAAACCACATCCACCGAGAACAAGAATTTTGCTTCAGCCATAATGTGAAGTGATAGGCCCTTCAAATCTACTGCTAAACAACAGAAAGGGTGTGTTGTTCACTCTCAATGACCAAAGATGCCTTGAATTTGTCACAATGACAGCGTAAATATTTCGCTAGTGTGAAAATGTGATCTTTCCGGCGTGCTCTTTCGATCTGTTCTTGCCGAACCAGTGCTTCCACAAATGACAATGCGGTTTTCCTTAAACGAGGCTGAAATTTCCTCAGATTTCCTCAGACGTTATTTGAAATTTCCTCGGATATTTTCTTGAAAGTTCGAAACTTAATTTAGAGTGAACATAGCAATTTTCGTTAAATTGAAGCTTCATTTCAGCTATAAGCTTATAGTTCATATCCATAAGTATGCTGTGCATCTGTTTTTTTCAGTATCAAAATTTGTACCAAGAATTGCTAGCTGACTTTGAGTAGATCGATCTTTTTTCTCGTTAATGATCAAGGAGATCGTGTTACCATGTAGCTTTGGAGAACCTTCTCTTAAAAAATAGAACTTGACGTATAAGGTTAGTTGTCTTCTGTTTTCCAAGTGAGGCTCTGCCTAATGTCTTATCCTTGGGATATATTGATAGGCAAATTTTTTTCTGCAATGAAACTAGCAATTTTAAGTTCCATCCTTGCAGCTTTCTTGTCACTTGGGCCAGACATGGAATCAATTTTCTTGTTTGTTGTTTCCAGTGTTGCTGACCTTGCCATAACTTCTTTATGGGCAGAGTCTTGTTATATGGCTAGAGCTGCTTTAGAGCAGCATTCTTTCATCTTACCCACTTGGCACCAAGGTTGAAACCCACTTGGCACCAAGGTTGAAATTTGCCACTGTCATTAGTTATCTTCTTCAACCATTTCTTGAATGTAGGGATTGTTAAGCCACGAATCATGAAACGTTTGTTCATATTACATTTTGGAAAGCTTTACCTTCGCTTCAACATAATTACGTTTCATTTCTACTCGCTTAACTCCACCATTTCTTAACCAAAGTCTTAATCAAAATAGTTAACAGTAGCTGACCTACACCAACAACACAGCAGTCCAAAGGGATTATCTGAGAAAATTTTCTTTAAAACACCCATGTGCATAAAGAATTTCACATATCAAATCGATTTAACAAAGCTGTTCTGACGATCCAACAGCGAGGAATCACAAAAATTAAAGTAAAAAATGAAATTTAAAATTTCCTTAAAATTTCCTCAAAATATCAATTTCCTTAAAAATTTTCTCAAACGGACCAAATTTCCTTAATCTGAGGAAATTTCCTTAAAAGTGGAAGCACTGTGCCGAACTGGCTTCACCAGCCTCATTTCCCCGTAGCAACGTGAGGAAGAGTTCTCCTCGACAACCCGCCTTATCAGCAGCTCTGCCTGAAAAGGACAGACTCAAAAAGCTGCACATGAATTAAAAAACAACAAAAGCACAGGTATCGATGAAGTGGCTGCGGAGCTTGTTAAGAACGGCGGAGAAAGTGTAGTTGAGTTCTTCCATGTTCTATGTAATAAGATCTGGAAGGGAAAAAAATGGCCTGAAGACTGGGTAACATCGGTTTTTGCTCCTATCCCAAAAAAGGGAGATGTAATGGAGTGCAGCAACAACAGAACGATATCTTTAATAAGCCACTGCAGTAAGATTCTTCTGAAAGTAATTGCAGGCCGCATGGAAACGAAGCTAGATGAAGAAATTGCAGATGAGCAGTGCGGATTCCGAGCAAATAAAGGCACTAGAGACCAAATTCTTAATCTGAAGTTGCTAATGGAAAAACACAGAGAACGATGCCACAACCTGTACATGTGCTTTATAGATTACAGAAAGGCATTTGATACGGTTGATCACGAAACACTGTGGAGAGCAATGCTTGAGATGGGCTTCCCAAAGCACATTGTCCATCTCATAAAAGAACTCTACGTCAACCAGAAAGCAGTTGTGAGAACCACGTATGGCCTGACAGATTTATTCAACATTGAGCAAGGAGTCCGCCAAGGTTGCCCACTATCGCCTCATCTTTTCAATGTATACTCAGAGAAAATAATGAAAGATGCTCTAGTCGGTTACGAAGGATCTATAAAAATGGGAGGCAGAACTGTCACAAACCTCCGGCACGCTGATGACATTGTGCTCATAGCTGGGTCCATGCAGGAACTAGAACTTCTCGTCACGAGAGTTAAATTGGCCAGTGAAGGAAAGGGACTGATGCTGAACACATAAAAAACGAAAGTCGTGAAGATGGCTGGTGATCCAGAAAACCTGGAGATGAAAGACCTCATTGTGAACGGTAAAGTAATTGAAACGGTTAAAAATTTCATTTACCTCTGTGCAAACTTCACAAACGACTGCAATGACAGCAAGGAGATTAGAAGAAGACTGGCAATCGCAAGAAATGCAGTCATCAGCCTTAGCAACATTTGGAAATACCGCTCTATCACGCTCTATATTAAAATTCGAATTCTCAATACCCTGGTGTTACCGGTAGCGACATATGGCTGCGAATGCTGGGTCATGAAGAAATCGGACAGAAATCGGCTAATTTCTTTCGAGATTTGGTGTTACAGACGAATCATGCGAATCAGTTGGAAAGCGAAAAAAACAAGCGAATGGGTCCTGCAGAAAATTGGTAAAGCTACCCTTCTCAACAGCATCAACAGAAGGAAGTTGTCGTTTATTGGACATGTCGCAAGAAACGAAGGCTTAGGAAATGACATTCTTTCTGGAATGGTCAGTGGCAAGCGATGGAGAGGAAGACCACGGCGAAAACTGTTGAAAATGATGTTGAAGTAGTCTTGGGAATGTTCTACGAAGCGCAAAAAACCGAGACACCTGGCGTACGACCATTGCGCGTGCCACGGCGGGTCAGCACTGACCCATCTGTTCCTGATGATGATGATTGGCAATGGAAAATATAACGAGCTGTTAAATTCTTTAATTGTCTCCTTCCCCATGAGTTTAGAAACGAAATGGCTTCTGAGATTTCCCTGTGAACATTTTATCGTAGATATTTGTTCTGGATAGTAATTCTAATTGTTAAAAATGCAATTGTATGAATTATCGACAAGATAAGGTTTTATCTTATCAGAATCGAAAATGGGAATTTTTCCCGTACCCTGTTGTCTCAAAGTAAACACTTTGTTTCTGTAAAATCGAAAAGTAAGCGATTCTTCTGGTGGTCGAAGAATTTTGCTGGATAAAACTTAGGTTTCGTATTCAAGCGGTAAAAGTGACGTAAAATCTGAAAACTGTCTGCTGTAACAACCTGATGCTTATAAATACACAGTCTATCAATGAACACCCATGATTGAAAAGTTTTTTGATAATCTTAGCAGTAAGACTTGTCTTTCATTTCTTTTAATTTGCCCTTCTGCCAAATTCTGCTTTGGAAACACTTTTTGCAGAGACGCAAATTAGGTACCAGGCTTTTCGCTTCCAAATCAACTATGACGATGGATAATCCTTCATTGATATGACGTCAAATTATGATCAATCTGTAACTTATCATCTTCGGTTAACATTTTTAATCAGTTGAGTTGTGAACATCGGTTGTGAAGGATTGACAATGTTGTCGAAGTTTTTTCACCGCTCAACAGCGAGTACGAATGAAGACGGCTTAAACCTTTGGGATCTTCCAAGGTTACACCGAGCCGCGTACAAGAACAAGATTCAGAAACTGCAAAGTCTTTTAAAGAAAAGACGAGTTGATATCAACAAGAAGGATGTCGAAGGACGGTAAGTTATCCCTAAAAGTTTTTAACAGTAGTTTATCTTAATATCTAGAGAACTAACTAATTAAAGAAGATATATTTCACTCATCTTTATTCGGCAATCAGCTTTATTTATTCCTCGTTCCAATTTATTTTCTTTATGATAAATCAAATGAAAATAAAGCAGAACATATTAGTTTGAAATGTTTCCAAGATATTCTGACAATTCCTATTTAAATAAATTTGATTTCTATTCTTTAACAGCTTTTATTAATAGTCCTTATCTGTTTTATATATATTTTAACCTTTTAAACGAATTCAAATCATTTATATTCGTGCTATCTAAAATCAATAAAGTCATTAAACATTACATTATCTTTATTCTGTTCTTGCGTTATATCTCACCACTAATGTACATTTTATTTGTGTCTTGTGTCATTTGTTGTGTCTTTACAGTGCCCATAAAAATTTAGCCTACTCCCTCTAATTTTTATTTTTCCTGAAACGAAATCATTATCTTTTGCCTTTTAAGGGGTTTACAAACTTATAGAATTACTATTTTCTTTGATACTTTATCTTTCTATGTAGCAATTTAAGGTGTTGCTTACTTCGTGAAAAACTTTAGTCTCTATTGTAATTTTGCAGAACGGCACTGCATTATGGATGCCTCGCAGGCAGAATTCAAGTGGTACGGCTCATTTTGGATGCTGATGGCAAAATCACTATTGACAGATTTGGGAGGAGTCCTGTTTTTATGGTAAGTTATATCTCTCTAAATATGGTCCTGTTTGTTAGTGTCAATTTTTGCGATCTACCTTTCCTTTCACGTTGGCACCCCTCACTGCTATTTAAGGTAACAATTTCAGACAACTTTATAGATCATTTTCTTTTTTAAACCAACCTTTTTAAAGTAGAGAGGAAAGTGGCTGAATTTGATCTCTT